AGGAGAATAGTGTGAACCCGGGAGGTGGAGCTTGCAGTGAGCTGAGATCACGCCACTGCACTCCAGCCTGGGTGACACAGGGAGACTCCGTTTAAAAAAAAAAAAAAAAGTAAAATACCTTTCTTTACAATAAAGCCTTAAACATATTAATGTGCAATGCAAATCTTCAAGAAGGGTATGGAAAACTGTGTTGGTTTCCTGCTTAACATTCCCTGCCACACGCCTTTGCTGAGAGACCCTCGATTTTGTTGGTTTATAGCACCTGTGTGTCTCACAGGCTCCTCCCCGATCCCAGGAAGAAATGTTCACAGGTCTGAGCCATTTTCCTTCGGTGACTGCTTTAGTTTGGCCATGTGCTGCAGTCCTGCATGTAATGAATGTAAAGACAATCAGCCCTGGGAACCTCTAGGAAGGATTTCTTGACTCTTAAAACATGACACAGGATGAGTACTTGCCTTTTCCTGCCTTAGGACATTGTCACGTGAAGACGTGGGCTTGGCGCTGCTTCAGTCCTGTTGAAATCATGAGGGAAAAGTCAAGAAAATCTCAGAGAAATGGATCTTGATCTTTGATGCTGTTAAGTTGTGCATTAACCACCCCCGGAATGGCCCTTTGAGTTTGTCACTTTGTAGTTTAGGTCTTAGGATATCCTGTGATGTTCAGCTCATAGCACCCTGAAACCAAGGGGCACATAAAGTACAGACAGTGCCCAACCAATTCATCTGACCACAGAAGGTCCCCCCAGACTAGGGCTCTACTAAGAATGCCTTGGGAAAGGCTGACAGAGTGAGGAAGATGGAGGTGAAGGTCAGATGCTCCAGGCTCTACTCTAGGTTCTAAAAATCACGTGAGCATCTGGGCCTCATTTTCAACTCTCTGAAAAGAATGTGCCAACTAAAACAACAGAAGTCAAGCATCTAATACTGTGCATGGCGCGTGGTAGGTGTGTCACACATAAAGAGCTGTCATTCATCAAATGGAAGTGGGGAGGAGAGGAGTCGTCCAGTTTCCAAGTCTCATTTATGCCCGGGAGATCTTTGTAACTATTCCAAAAATAATATGTGTTCCTTGACCCCATACCCATTTATAGGACTCTCTTGCCTCACTCAGCAGGAAGAAAGAGAAAATAAAGATTCCATAGATGTCCTAGGCAAGCATGCTAACTCCTGGGTCCCTAGTCCCCGCTCTTCTGCTAGAGCGAGCTGGGACCAACTCCCTGGGTGGCCAGAGTACTTCTGTGTCTGCTACAGGCTCTGAAACATTCTTCAGTGAGAACGTCCACATGTACCAGAGACCCAGTCTGCCGCAGAGGAGACATCTTCACTCTAGGCACTCGTGGGCATGCCAAGGAGATTGAGTTCCTCCTCGTCCAGAGCTCTGGCTGAGACTCAGAGCAGCAGCCGACAGACAACTGACTAGGGGCTTTGCTCACTTTCTCTCTCTCTCTCTGTCCTCTCTCCTCTCTCCTTTCTGTTTCTCTCGGTTTTGTTTATTGAGGGAAGCATTTAATTTGTAATTATATATTTCATCCCCAGAAAAAGAATCCCAGGGTTTTCTTTCCTGTGTGCTTTTATGATGCTTTCTCATGGTCCATGATGCCAGCTGCAGTCATCAGTTCAACAAAACCAAACTGATGGGATGGAGACTAATCTGCCATTTTTTTAAGGTCTGAGTTGCACAGTAAATCTGGAGATGATCACTGCACATTTATTTAGCCTGCCTGTGAGGGTCACAACAATTTTCTCAGTTCTAGGATCAACAATGATTTCAAATTTTCCAAAGTTACTGAGCTTCATCATCACAATTAAAAACCGGACAATGATATGGGAGCACAGCCTAATAAGAACCTGGTGTTGGCTGGGCACACTGGCTCAAGCCTGTAATCCCAAAAATTTGGGAGGCTGAGACAGGTGGATCACTTGGGGTCAGGAGCCCACTTCACTCCTTCTGCCTGCCCCACTCTCTGAAAGGAGAAGAGACGCAGCCACCTAGCAAGATTCTCAGGAGAAAAGCAGACAGGGCTGAAGAAGAACCATGCCACAGAGGCCAGATGAGGCAGGGGGACCGGGCATGTTGGAAACACCTCCTGTAGGGCTGAACACCAGCAGAGAAGAAAGGGGGCAAAGGTGCCAAGATAGGGCATGGGACTGCAAGAACACAAAAGGGATGTTCCAGCCGGGTGCGGTGGCTCAAGCCTGTAATGCCAGCACTTTGGGAGGCTGAGGTGGGTGGATCATGAGGTTAGGAGTTCGAGACCAGCCTGACCAACATGGTGAAACCCCATCTCTACTAAAAATACAAAAATTAGCTGGGCATGGTGATGCACGCCTGTAATCCTAGCTATTCAGGAGGCTGAGACAGGAGAATCACTTGAACCCAGGAGGCAGAGGCTGCAGTGAGCCGAGATCATGCCACTGCACTCCATCCTGGGTGACAGAGCAAAACTCCATCTCAAAAAAAAAAAAAAAAAAAGCGGGGGGGATGTTCCCCAGGCTTTGGGGATAATGGGATTAGAATTATTCTTTGGGCCACTCTTTAAATCTGACAGTTCTCCGGGACTGCACTATGAGATTCCTAACTTTTATTTTTTTTATTTTTTATTTTTGGAGTCTATAAATTTATTGAGTAAAAACAAAATCAATGTCAGATACATTATATTTGATTGGGTTCAAATTTGGCTGATGTCCAAATGCAGCAGAGAAGAACAGAGGGGAGAAAAGGATATGGTGTTGCTGGCAAGGGGACACTGAACAGAACAGTCTTCCTTTCATTATAAAAACGGGCATCATACAGCCGGTGTGAGTCAATTAACCAAGGTAGGGGATTCAATGTTTTACGAGCAGGGAGAAAACCAAAGTAAGCAGAGAATTTTCAAGAGAGGAGAGGGCCCAGAACACTGAGAGAAAAAGCTGCAGCAGTGGCCAGCTGGAGAACAGCGGTTGGATCCGCTGGGTCACTTGGGGAACAGGGTGACCACTTCGTAGCCCTCGGGTGGTGTGACTCGCTCCCAGGCACGCTTCTCACCGTGGATTTGATCCTCCACAAAGAAATGGCCCTTCTGTTTCAGGCTGGTGCCACAGTCAGTGCACACGTAACACTCAGGGTGGCGGTGATGGTCCCGCAGCTTCACACCGACAATTCCAGGGCCACATTTGTCACACATAGGCAACTTCTGAGCATTTCCAATCAACGCAGCCACTTTAGTGACAGGAGCGTCAACACTTCTGAATCCTGAGGGCTTGTTGGGATCCCTTTTTCTTCAGACTCCAGGATTTCCTGCAAAACCGGGAAAAACATGGACTGTTTTGGGGGCTCATTCAACTCCTGTTTCTCCCGATGCATCTTGTAAACTTTAGATTCTATGTCGATGACACACGGCTGCTTGGAGGCTGAGCATGGTCTAAGGGTCTGCCGTTCGCCTTCACCCCGCTGGCAGCAGTCTTTGACTCCAGGGCGTTGTTGAAGTTGGAGATATTTTCAGAAGAGCAGAGGCCAGCTGGGTTGCTGTACTGGTTTGTGATGACCCTGGCGGCAGTGCTGCGGGCAGGCGAGGTGGTAAAGGACATGGAACTTCGGTTGTGGGCGCTTCCTATGTGCAGTACCTCCCGGGGTTCAGAGGCTAAATTCATCTTGTATGGATGACACTTCCCTTCCTCCGTCACCAGAGGAGACCAGACTTTATGTTTGGATCTGGCTACAGGGAAAGTCATGTTGTCTGTGCAGCCTTTGATTCTGTTCTGAGCTTCCAAGTGCGTCATATTGCGAGAATTTTCCCCATCAATGGTTGTGATTATATCTCTGAGACATAAATTAGCTAGAGCCACCTTGCTTCGAGGAGTGACCCGGGAAATGGCGAGAGGCTGCTCAAAGTCCTTGTCGCCCACGAAGCAGAAGCCCCTCGGCCTCGGGCCCTGGAGGACGATCTGCTGGGTGGCCATGGCGCGGCTGTGGTGGGCGACGACCCGCGGGGACAGACAGGCAGGACGTGGCATGGTGTGCAGGGCTCCCCCGGCAGCTCGAGATTCCTAACTTTTAAATGTTACAAGCTGAAGGGGTGGCCTGCCCCTCCACACCTGTGGGCGTTTCTCGTTAGGTGGAACAAGAGACTTGAGAAAAGAAATGAGACACAGAGACAAAACAGAGAAAGAAAAAGTGGGCCCAGGGGACCGGTGCTCAGCATACAGAGGACCCACTCCGGCACCAGTCTCTGAGTTCCCTCAGTATTTATTGATCATTATCTTTACCATCTTAGAAAAAGGGAAGTGACAGGATAATAGGATCATCGTAGGGAGAAGGTCAGCAGTAAGACATGTGAATAAAGATCTCTGTGACATAAGTTTAAGGAAAAGTGCTGTG